AAGGTAGAGACGGAATGTTTGTGCCGATCGCGGTTACCTGCAATCATGCCGCTTTGCATTTGCATTGTGCAATCAAAAACACAAATCAAGTATAAAAGCAAACTTAATAATGAAACAGTAAGGAGAAAACAACAGAAAATTAGAACAACATAGGGGAGTTCAAAGAAAAAGTAGTGAGCAAGCAAATAATGGATGGGCTAAAGCAGATTTTGGGCAACTAGTTTCCGAAATAGAGCAAAACTTTTAGGCAACCCAACCCACTCAACGATTTTATTGAATGCAGTCCCAGCTCGGTGGCAGAAAAAATTTATTCGAACTTGGTTCTAGATCTGGGAATAAAGATCTTGGCATTTCCGCCACGAGGGCGATGATCACCGGCAGAAAAAAAGCTTGCTTTTATCAACAGATATCTTACCACAGAAAATTTTGAATAGAACAAGTAGGTCATTATTTTTCCTTCTTTTTTCACGAGAGGACAAACCTAGCATTGCGATACGAGTGGTACTGTTTAGAGTTCTGGCATAGACATAAGCAAGGACTCTGACCGTCAACTTTCTGGTGAACTCACTTTGCACTTTCTCAAGCGCATTAATCAGTGCATATGGCCGGCTGAACAGGTCGCACCTCGACTTCACGGAACATGGGTCCGGGAACTTCTCCCCCAACACCGCGTCCCACACGCCGCACCCGCCGCCTATCGCAGGATTGCGATGGAAGATTGGAGCGCGCAATTTGTGAGGCAGGGAGTCCTTTAATTATTTGAATTGGCTGGCCGCTCTTTTCAATTCCAATGCAGTCTTGATCGTCGTTTATATAGGAGCAGTCATTTTAATAAATCAAGTCTAATAAACATGAAAACTGAAAAGAAATAGAAGAAAAAACGATCAAATCCAATGAAAAAGCAAGGCAATCAACGAAAAATATCGCGTCCTATCGATTGGCGGGAGGCGGGATGAGTACGGTAACTGCAGTGACATTTGCCGCATGCCGCGAGGGAGAATGCCGCGGTAGGGGAGAAGTTCCGTTACTCACGGAACATTCACCTAAAACTTTTCTCACCAAACACCTTCTGCCGAAATTTTGCTCTTATCTCTCTTATCTCTGCAGTCTCTGGCTATTATAAATCGCGTGTGAGATAAGCATACGATTTCGACACTTTTACAATCACGGCGCCGCTGTAAGCGCACTTGACCCAAACAATGACGAGGGCCTGCTTGTATAAATGAATTTGCATCATCTCTCCAAACAAAAATGGAAGAGGAATGGGAGGTCAAGCGAGTTGCTACAATGTCATTTTCGACGAGCATCTAGCAAATGCTGATCCAAAATGATCCCGTAGGGCTGAAGAATAATATAACTCGTCTAGCTCACAAGTCCTATCATTAAGTTTTATCTCGATGCATGTCTTAGGGGGAAGGTTTGGGACTGGATCAGTTGGCACTGCCCAGCAGGTGGCACTGGTTAAAGACAATTCTTGTCGATTTACGCAATGAACATCATCTGACCAAGAATTGGGAGAAGCCTTAATGAACACAGGGGGATTCCTTATCATTCGAGTCTTATTCTTCTTATTCCATTTCATGGTATGTAGTCCAATGGCGGGTGAACACAGTAGCATTTATGTTTCAATTTCAGTTCAAATATGCTCTCTTGCATCGGTCGTTGCAGAACTCCTTCACTGGGAAAACATCAACCGAAGGTAAAGGTACCAAATCTTACAGGGTCATGTTTTTTTTTTTTGCTAGAGCTTCGCAATACCGAACTTCTACGAGGGAGGAGATATAAATTTGCTAGAAGGATGGCAAATATATACAAACAGAATTGACTTTATGTCATTGATCAAGGTTCATTCAATAGGAGGTTCTTTTTTGGGAAAAGCTATGAAATCGTAATTCCTTCCAAACGACCTAATACCATCTTGTACTTCCTTTGGCTAAGGTTACTTTCGCACAAGCGCATGGTTAGGTGCTTTTGATATAGGCAGCCACTTGTTCTTCTCCAAAACTTCTGATATGACCTTACTTTGTGCAGATCCTTCTGATGTAATTGAATTACTTTTTGTTTGCAAGTACTTTGAGCTTCAAGGTCCAAAGCCTTTTCATCAACTGGGCCTCTGACCTTCTCAGCACAAGGTCCAATGCCTTTCCATCAACTGGGCCTCTGGCCTTCTCAGCACATGTCCAAATCATCGTATACGCTGCTCCCGCGTCCTTAATTGAAACGGGATCGGGTGCGTTAATTATTATGACCTTCCTTACTTCCCTAATCCTATGTGCGTCGAATCGAGTGCATTAACGGGCCCAGGTTTCTTTACTCGCTCGACCAGGGCAGATTTACGTTTTATGATAGCGGCTGGCCAGACCACTGAGGTACAAGGCACTGTTTGGGCACCTTGTATCTGAGAGACCAGGAGCGCTTCTAGAGAACAGAATACTTATGATCTCGTTCCATTTCATTGGTAGCCTTTTTTCCGGGATCTCGCTGGTTCAGTGTAGTCTGTAGCTGCTCGACGATGTGAACTTCGAACTTGCTCTGTTTTAGTTCAAGAGTGATGATCATTGGTGTACCTGAATACGAATTCAGAGCATGTTCTTACTGTTTCACGTTTGCTGGCCTGAACCTCAATGTACGCAAAGTCAACTTCATCTGGCAGTCAAAGTACCTCATATTGCGGTACCTCATGTTGCCTTTTTTACGTAGATGGCGATTTTTTCTCGCTGCCCGGTGTCTTTCCGCTCACATGGCTTCAATCTTTAGTCAGTTGAAGCCACAGCCTCGATGGTTTCAATTGGCTAAAGTGTAAGTAAACGCACCTCTGAAGTTAAAGAAAACAAGGAATCTCCTGAAGGACAACCCTCTTTTGCAAAAATAATTCGCCTATTTTGCTTGCGTGATAACCGTTTTGCAAAAGCTGTCAACAATTAGTCAAAAACATTGTTTCTGAGGAACGTTATGGTTGAAAAGGTCCACGAAATTTCTTTCCGAACAGTACTGTACGTGGGAAGCGTCAGGTCTTAAGATCAAAATTCCATGAAAAACACTCCTCTGCTATTTAGCTAGCAACGAGGTCAAATGTTTTACAGCTTCGCCAGTGAAGATTAAAAGCGGAACCTTATATTTGTGGACACTAAATCTTTCCCACTATAATGAGGCCAAATAAAATTTATTCCACGATTGCAACAATTCCGGTAAAGGATTAGATTCCTACCTCTACTTCAGACGACATGTGTTCCTTTGTAGTCTTGTCGTAGACTTCCATCTGAAGAAAAACGACAACAAATATATCCAACGAAAAACGGCACCGACATTTGACTAGCACACAATTCATTTTAGACAAATGAACATTACTTTTCTATATTTTGGAGCAGTATCGGAGGGGTTCGAGAAAGCACCAGCAATGTCATCGTCGAATGATGGGGTCCCACCCGCAGCAATGCTTTCCAGTGAGCTTTCACAGAATACGTCTTCGCGAGTAGCACGGAACAGATCCGCCTGGGGAAGGATTTTTGATCGATCAAATTTTGGATAGCAATTTTTTGAACAACACCGAACCTGCTTTCCTTTTTCTCCTGTGAATTCTCCGAAGCTGCGTGTCTTTTGCAAAGTGTCCATGGAATTGGTTGGAAAATCATTGTCGTTTTGTCGCTCCGACACAAGCCGTGGGCGACTGTTGACACTGTTGTTCTCAATTATCAACTTGTGTATCATCGCCTTCCCCCTATCCTCAATCAGCTTGTGGTGTGGACTCTTTCTACCACCTTGGCTTAAACCCGGACTCAACGGTGATTGCAGACGACTTCCCTAAAATTAATATAGTGATGATAATCACGGAAGAAGTCCCTACAACTGATGTTGAATTGCGCAGCGCTTTATATCTTATTAATCGCCTGAATCGTTTCCACTGGATGGCGTTTAAAACCAGCAAAAAAAACTATCAGGTAACTAAAAAAGTTCGCGGTGTTTTGCAAGTGGATTAATTAATATACAAAAAACGGTTTAACTAAAGTTTATTCTGAAAATAGTGCTCTTCAGCAAGCGTGAAACAAGCTGGTATGTTATTATATGTGGTATGTGGTATGGTACAGTAGCGCTCAAAAGTCTTCAAAGAAATGGTTCTTTAGGCGTACTTTTCAGTCGTAACTCCTTTCCTACTGGATCTAATCATGCGAAATTTCTATATTTTCAGCGTGGGTGTAATCTGAATATTTACCACTATTGACCTGCAATCTGACCATGTTCCAGGTATTCCAAAGAGCATGAACTCAAAATCGACTGAAAATACAGATGACGGCCCTTCTGGAATCTCTTTNAGTGTACGAGCGGTAACGCCGAAAACAATGGATGAGAAAAACGCACATAACGTGCGAATAAGTGCAGACGTCAACAACTTCACTTTTAGCAAAATCTGCTACCGCAACAAACACCTCGCTCCATCTGTGGGTATTGCAGCTTCGCAGTTAAATAGTGTACACTAGGGTGAAATATGCTATAGTTAAACATATCCAGATTTTGTGCGATTTGGTCTACTAACAAAAAAGTTATGAACGAAAAAGCGTCAAACCGAACACTTGAGCGCTACTGTATGTGTTCATTTTTATAAAAGTCTTGAGTTTTGGAGCTAAAAAATTGATTTAACTCTCTTCCGAGCTCTTCTCTACCGATTATTTACTATTTTATTTATTTAAATTACCGATTATTTACGTGATTATCCAGGGCCAAAAACAGGAGATAGTCGCTAGGGGCAAGACCTGGTGAATACGGGGGGTGAGGCAGAATCTCCCCTTGTAAACGTGCTAGCGTTTCCCGCGTGATTCTTGCTGTGTGCGGTTTGGCGTTGTCCTGTTGAAATACTCCACTTGAAAATTTGAAACTTAAAACGCACTACTTAAACACTTAAACTTATGAGACACACTGAATGATTCAGCATAAAAGAAGCCCCAAAGCATATGCAATGTTACCATCCTTCCAGTTTTTTAATGCACTGCATAGAAATAATCAATTAGAAAAAACGTACGAACTCCTTTGGTTGCCTAATATATGGAGGGCAACTTCGAAACAAGACAAAGGTGGTTTCATTGTTTCGAGTTAAGGCGTGATGATCAAGAGGCAGAGGTGGTGGAGTAGCAAGTGGCATACATCAGGCAGATCATGGGTTCGAATCCCGGTTCGATATCCGCGTGGCCAACCAAACCTTCCACCCCCTACGGGGTCGGTGAATTTCTAACGAGCACTTCCATCAGATATGAGCACTGACTTCTACATGGGCTGGTCATCGCAAGTCACTGGTATAGGCCACACGTCACTTTGATAAAAGCAAATGCAGGAGCATATACCTCAGTCGAGATTGTGCAAAGGTACAGTTCACAATGAATAAAGGTACAGTTTACAATGAAAGTGGTTTCTGAGTCCTTCCCCTAGGAGTACCCAATGGTCCCAGAGTGTAACAGGAAGGACGCTGACCGGTTCCAAATCTGAACAGCTAGGGCACAGTGGGAGCCCCGTCACCGGATCACCCGGATGCCCCGCCTCTCGGCCGACAATGTGTCAGACGAGTGTCGAAGCGATACAGGTTGCAATATTCGCGCCAGGACCCACACACTCAGTGCGCAATAAGCTGGTCGCCGAGTGATGAGGCCATCAGCTGTTTTTCTCCTTTTCTATTATACTCTGTCATTCCTTTTACTGCTCCGATCCTTAGTCTAATTTTCTACCTCAAGAGGCTAGAAAAGGTGGGATATTTTTGCTGTTAAAAGGGTTTTTTATCAACAGATGCTTATAAACGAATGGTTTTTAAAGGGCATTTTTGCTTAATGTAGTCAGCTATTCGCACCAGGAACCACACGTGCGCAATGACACACACTGTTTAGCTCGTCCAGACGCCCCACTCTTCTTCACTTTTCTAGTCTCATTCTCGTCCAGCCCCCTTTTTAACGATTTTTCAATGCCCTTTGCGCTTGGAAACACCGATTCACGCGGTTTCTTCGCCTTTATCGCACTATTTTCCGTCTTATCTTCCATTTTTCGTCATAATCTGGATTACACAAAATTATCGTGAACTGTGCCTTTGACGCCCAAGAGTTAACCTTCACTATCCTTCACTGGTTCAACCGTATTTTTTGAATAAATGTCAGTTCGCTTGTATGCGCTGTTACGGCAGAGGAAGTGAAGACTGTGCTTTTACTGAGGCATCTTGAAAGTCAGGGGCGAGCCGCTCCACTTGCTCAGCGATGAAGAGAAAAAACCCCTTGACTATTCGGCGAGTTTTTAAGATGTGAAGGAGAGCCTTAGATCATCAATACGAAGACGAAAAATGTTTTCCACGCGCAGGGGACATATTTCGTGAAAATCCGGCCATACCACTAAGTGCACCCCGCTGGCACCTCATGTGACCACTCAGTTCTGATCGAAGCAAAGGTATTCCACCAGGGAAAACTGTTCAGTAGTTTTGATCCCATTACCGTCTCGCAGATGTGGAAACAAGTTTGAGATCAGCGGTTGAAAACACCTGCGACGGTGTTTACATCTCGACAACTGCGACAAAGTACCCATCTCTTTTGAGTCTGGTTTGCAAGACGGACTAATTCGCAGTGTAACTCGTGACTACTCGATATGACTGATCGTGTTGAAACCCATCATACCTTCAAAACCCTGCTTGCTTGCATGGCTGCCTTTTATTCAGTGTTCGCCAATATTTTCGGTCATGTCATAGAAAGTTTATCCCTTATGTACAGGGCGACTGGGTGATAGTTGTCAATACCGTGTACCTTTTTATACAACAGCTCACTCTTAAGTTTCGTAAGAAAAGAATGATTTACCTTCGGCAAGTCGACCCGAAGAACCGAGTTAGGGTTTCTAAGTGATCACTGATTTGGGCTCCAAGATGATCTTGTTTGACCATATCTAACTACAGGGTGGGACAAAATTATGATTATAGCGCGCGCTGACGTTAATAGCAAATTTTTTCTGAGTTCATAACAATCCATTGGATTTCTTCCATTTCACAAGGTAGCCTACGTTACTACCCTTCTAATGATACTAAACTTTTGGTAGATTTCGAAAATAATACAAGCTAAGTAGTCCGTGAATCAAACCTCGCTTTGCATTTACAAGCACATTTGGCACGGTGCATCTACAGACGAACTAGCGTAACAAGGCAGGTAGTGCATTCAACCATAAGACGCTTTCGAACGTTGGGAACAATTGCAGATAGGAGTGGTAAACCTAGGAGGTCTGTGGTTATATTTAGGGGAAGTGTTAAGGAAGCAGGGCGAGGGTCTACGTAGCAGCAAAATTCATTCTGAGTACAAAATGGCTAAATGAATGGATATCTCACGAAATTTTCTACGCGAAATCGTGAAGCATCATCTGCATAACAACGCTTTTATACGATCAGAAAGTGTTTCCCCAAGTGAGCAGGCTGAAGAGAAGAGAAAGGTTGGCTAACAAAAGCTGTCCTGTCGCATCCCAAAAAATTGTTCGAATCCCTGTTCACCGACGAAAAAATATTCACAATGAAAAAGGTGCTCAATAAGAAGAGCGACAAGATTTATATGAAGCTTAAAGAAAGGAAAGTGATACAGCGTTTGGCTCACTAACTTTCTGTGATGGCCTGTGCTAGCATCATCGCCGAAGCAAAGACACCGATTATTTTTGTATGTTATGGAGTTAAAGTTGATTTGGAGGCCTGTTTGATCTGTTCGTGCGCAATAGGACACTTTGGTGATTCAAACCGGT